GCACCCGAGGGCTGGCAGTTGCGGCAACATATAGCTTAATTGTAGAGCAACAAGGTAAAACCCCATCATACACTGACATGGAACTGGCCCGGGTACTCGGTTGGACAGTTGAGTTTCTACAAGCTGCGTTTTTAGTTACCGATGATATGATGGATCAATCTAGCAAACGTCGTGGCAAACCGTGCTGGTACAAATTAGTATGTAGCAATATTGTATACTTACGTAAAAATAAATTATTATCTTAATTTTTATATTTAAAAGGATCATGTTGGTTTAATGTCATGCAACGATGCTAATTTATTGGAACAGGAGGTCTATCATATGATACAATTATTTTTTCATTATAAGCCCTATTATCAAAAATTGGTTGATCTCATGCACGAGGTATTAATATAAGGTTTTTAATTATAACAAAATATTGCAATAAAAATTTTGCTAAATATATAAAGACAACCAGGTATACAGCTTATGGACAATGTATGGATATGCTCTCAAGCCCACCAAACGAGCCAGCACAATTTGTATTATTTACGGCTGACCGTTATAATACAATTATAAAATATAAAACTGCATTTTATTCATTTGTATTGCCAGTAAGACTAGGTAAGTTATCTTATAATTATATTATTTTCTAGTATTATATTATTCCAAGATAATTTATTATTGATTTATAAAATAGCCATGTACATGTCATTATGCAATTCCCAGGATGAGCATAAACTAGCCGAGACCATATTACTAAAAATTGGACATTTATTTCAAATGCAAGACGACTACTTGGACTGTTTTGGAGACCCTGATACAATTGGCAAAATTGGGACAGACATACAGGAAGGCAAGTGTTGTTGGCCTATAGTTAAGGCATTAGAAATGTGTGATCAGAATCAGAGGCAAACACTTGACACTAATTATGGCATAAATGATGAGAAATGTGTTGCAATTGTTAAAGAGATTTATCACGAATTAAATATTCAAGAAGTTTATACTGAATGCGAAGAATGCATTTACAATGATATATGTGTTATGATTGATGACCTCAAATTCAAAAGTAACTTATGCCCGGTCATATTTTACGAAATGCTTGATAAAATATATAAAAGGGTTAAATGATTATTTTAATAAAATAATATTTTATTTACTTTCAAGAATTGAGTCAAAGATAATAAAATATTTTAATAAAGATTTATTAATTAGATGTCTTTGAATATTGAGTTTTGAATTTATATTGTAATTTAATTTAAGTTATTCATACTTAATTATTTTATAATTTTAAAAGTATTAAAGTATTAAAGTATAAACATAACATTTACAACATGCTAATAAATTATAATTTACAAAGTTTAATTAGTTTTATAGTGAATAGAAAGCGAAATGTCCAATTAAAATATATTTTTTAATTTAAGATAATAAACTTGCATGTATTATGAATTAATTGAAGATGTACAAAATGTATTTTATTATAATTTACAATTGGTTAGTTTTATAATGTATAATAGAAAACACACTATAATAGAGGTCTTATAATTTTCTTTATAAAAATTATAGGCGGTAATAATATTGAATTTAAAATTATACAACAATTAATTTTGTTTAAAAAATACATAGATAAATAATTTTATAGATGTTTATAAAAGTAATTAGTATGACCTTATATTGAATATTCTATAATACTGTATTATATTATTAATACAAATAAACTTTGTTATTAATGATAGAAACCCGCTTTAAACCAGTATTATAAAATATGTTACAAAAATTAAAAGGTAAATAACATTTTGATGATCATCATTAAAAGATATCTGGATAATGTACTCTGACACTTGTATATTTTAGTACATAATAATTAACACAACACAGTAATAGATTTCATTTGCAGGTTTAAGTTATAATTTGTAAATTCAGGTGTATTATTGTAAATTTCAAATAACAATTTTAAATTTTACTAAATGATAAATACATGTTAATGAGAATATTATAATAAGTTAGTTAATTTTAATGTTAATAACATAAAATAGAATTTATTAATCAAATATGAATATTAAAATAAAATATTATTATTATTATATGAATAATAAGATAAAAAGATTATAAAATTAAATTACTTATTAAATTATATTTTTATCTATTGAGTTAAGAAATATAAGGTAAGAAATATTGGATTAAGTTTTAATAGAAAGAAAATTCCAGCAATTTATGCAACTTAAGGGACATCTGCTTTAATTATTAGGGGTTTTCATAATATCTGTCAGGTAGATTTTATTCAGCAACCAATAATGATATCAAAAAGTTTTTTAAACCTCAACT